CACACACACACACACACACACACACACACACACACACACACACACACACACGCACGCACGTCTGCTTACAGCCAAATGCATAATATAAATGAACAGTAATGCAAACAATAATGATCTTAAGCTAGATGACACCCGGGCAAAAATTCAAAATTTCCAACCAACTGAAAATGTTTGGTGTGTCTCGCCCGCTCATATGACCTTATGCAGTTTCTGGCGCCGTAAAACACACCAAAAAAAAACGACAAAAAAAAAAAAAGACTATGAAAAAGTTCAGAAGAGAGGGGAAGATTTCAGGGAGCCAAGATGCAGAAATATATGATGGGCACGCGCGTGCATGTGTGTACCAACCTGAAGTGAGTTTGCGAGGGGAATGATGTGCGCTCGTGCGTGCTCGAGCGAAACAGACATGTCTTCTGAGCTCTTCCCTATTTAGAGCTCTCTCTTCCCCCCCCCCCCTGTGAGATTTAATTAGCTGGATCCTGTTTTGTTACTCTCATTATTTTATTATTTTTATTTTTATTTTCTAGTCCAGTTTTCAGGAATCTGATAGGGAGAGCAATTGTTATTTTTATTATGTGTGTGTGTGTGTGTGTGTGTTTGTGTGTGTGTGTGTGTGTTTGTTTGTTGTTGTTGCTCTTGATTTTTTGTTTTGTCCTGTTATTAGTTCTTGGAATTTGTGGGTGGTTGGCGGGTGCTCTGGTGTGGTTTGCTCCATCTTTCCTATCAAACATCTGTTGTCCTTATCTCCCCTCCTTCTTTTTTATGTTTGTTACTCTCTTGTAACACCTCTAATCTTCTGGCGCTCATATGACCTTATGCAGTTGTGAGCGCTGTAAAACCTCTACTAAAACAAACATTCTTGGAATTTGGTTGGAAGTTGTGAGAAAAGTTGCTTGGAGTTTTCCCCGAGTTCTCATCTAATATTTCTCTCCCGGCTCCCCTTTCCCCCTTGTAATGCTTCATAGTATCACTTGTCCTCTTTGCTTTCTCTTCAAGGTTGGAGTGATAAGTGGGTGGTTGGCGGGTGCTCTGGTGTGGTTTGCTTCTTCTTTCCTGTCAAACATCTATCGTCCTTATCTCATCTTCTTCTTTTTTTATGTTTGTTACTCTCTTGTAACACCTCTAATCTTCTGGCGCTCATATGACCTTATGCAGTTGTGAGCGCTGTAAAACCTCTACTAAAACAAACATTCTTGGAATTTGGTTGGAAGTTGTGAGAAAAGTTGCTTGGAGTTTTCCCCGAGTTCTCATCTAATATTTCTCTCCCGGCTCCCCTTTCCCCCTTGTAATGCTTCATAGTATCACTTGTCCTCTTTGCTTTCTCTTCAAGGTTGGAGTGATAAGTGGGTGGTTGGCGGGTGCTCTGGTGTGGTTTGCTTCTTCTTTCCTGTCAAACATCTATCGTCCTTATCTCATCTTCTTCTTTTTTTATGTTTGTTACTCTCTTGTAACACCTCTAATCTTCTGGCGCTCATATGACCTTATGCAGTTGCGAGCGCCGTAAAACCTCTACTAAAACTAAAAACCTACGCAGTAACGTCTCTAGATCGAAAACAACAACGCAGTAATGTGTGAAAATTCATCATTCTAAAGACAAGTTCTCTTTCTGTTTGTTCCTTTAGGCCTTCCACCAGGCAGCAAACCTCCTCTCCAGATGATGAGCCCAGTGGCCATGGCAGCAGCTGCTTCAGGAAAGCTCCCCCCGAAGACGGCGACGGTGCCCCCTCTCCACCAGGTGTCGCCTAGCAACGGCCTCAGCACCAGTGCGGCAGGGGGTTCCCTCAGCGGCAGCCACACCTCTAGCTTTGCCGCAGCTCTGCGCAAACTGGCGCACCAGGCAAAGGATCCTGCAGGTCAGACATGATAGTTTTATTATACATTTGTGTCACAAAGCGGTGGAGTCTGGCGCTCGTCAATTTTTGGGTATACGGGGTTATTGGTATCATATTAAAGCCTGTTTATTTGCCCTCCTTTTTTGTGCAAAAAATGTCCAAGTTAAATAAAAGTCGAAATATTTGCGATTGAAAGAGGTCAGGGTCGGGAATTAGCAAGACAATGGCCACCAAAGTTTGGCAAATTCCATAGCCTGAGAGTCCTTGATTTTTTTTTTTCTCTAAACGCCACAAAAAATGTGTTTTTAAATGGACATATAAGGTGCTGAGCCGAAAAGAAGAAAATTAGGGAAAAAAAGTGCCCATCTGCCCAAAAAATACTGATTTCTTTGATTTCATTATTTTGATGAGCGCCTGATTTCACCATGATGCCTCACATTTGTATTTTATTTTAGGATGAATAATAAAATTGAATTCCACATATTTTTTGCTGTAAGGTAATTAATTTTGCCCTGGCATACCTGATAACCTACATACTTGTTTGAAAGTACGTACGTACCAACCCACCCACCCTCCCTTCCACTCACGTACAGACAAACAGACAGACAGCCTTGTGATAATTCATCAGGGTTACATAATGCACCATACCACACCAGCACAGACTTTGGTATGCACATGCTGTTGCTGTCACCTGTTGTATAATGTTCTGTATTTGAATAAGGGTTATTGTGTCTCGCTCAAGGACACACCTTAGTGCCCACCCAACTGAATACCGTGTCACGGACTTTTACTTTACTTTACTTTTTCGATTCAGCGGCCATTTGGGTTCTAGCCCTTCGGTCTGTCGATATGGCAAAGAAACCGTGTCACGGACGAATGCTTGACGTTATTGTGAGCCTGAAATTTCTGACCACTTAAGCTACTGGATGGTTAGTGTGGTTTGCTACTTCTTCTGACTTGTCATTGATGGAATGCTGCTGGTAATTGGGGGAGCTCTTGTGATCCGTTTCGTAAACTTCTTTTCAGTATACAGTTGAAATTGTCCAAGACAGCCACCCGCAGCCGAGGAGAAAAGTGGTTGTCTTAGGTTGATGTCTTGGATAGTGTTGTTATAGTAAAATAAATACAAATAGGAATTCTTGTTTGTACAGGTGATTTTCTTGAACAAATGGTTGTTATAGCAACTTCAACTGTATTAAAGTACTAAATGAACAACCTCGCAAAATGTGGCAGTTGTCATGCCGACCCACTGTAACCTTTGACCCAACTGTACCCTATATGCCTACCCACATAAAGACTCCTACTTTTGCTGACTTATCAGAATACGATTTACGCCAGTGTCTGTATAATTTATGTCTGTATAATTTATGTACAGACACTCAAGAGCTTGATTTGTGTTTGTTCTACCCTTTTGATTTCTCATTCCCCACCCCACTACCACTCATCCACCCACCTTGACATGCACCCATGGACACAAACATACACTAAACACTCCTGAAATTTTTATTAGCACACATAACTCGTCGTCTTTGTAGCAATTATTGTCTATACTTTTATTTATAGTGGGTCTCAGTTGGCCTCTCTTATCTATCGATTAGAACTCTTCTTTTCTAATTTATTGCATGCGTGAGGGTCATTTTGATTGCTGGGTTCTTGGCGGGCACTCTGGTGTGGTATGTTACTTCTGTCCAATCAAACATCAGTCATCTTTATCTCTCCTCATTCTTTTCCTTATATGTTAATCTCTTCTCTTTTGACATCCGCCCCTTGGCGCTCATATGACCTTATGCAGTTGCGAGTGCCGTAAAACCTCTACTAAATAAAAACAAATATTAATCTCTAATAACACCTCTAATAAAATAATTTGGCACTTGTGTGACCCATTTATATTGCAAGTTCCGTAAAACTTTTACTAAAAGTAAAACTCATTTTGTTTGCAGAAGAGGCCATCTTAAAGCACGGTGGATCCCCTCCCTCCAGCCACAGTCCGCGGGCAGCTACCCCGAAAAGGCCCCCCTTGATGTTCCCGGCCCACTCCAGCTCCCCGGCCAGCTTGACCTCTCCCCCTGTGGTCACCATAGCTCCCACCCAGGCTCACCACCACGCCAGTCTAGCCAGTTCTGACAGCAGACAGGTCAGTGGTCAAGCCAACAGACGCACATTAATTACTGCTGGGATTTTTACTTTTATTTTTTTTAAAAGTTTTTTCTGTTTTCACTGAAAATAAATTTCATAAGCTGCTTCTGTTTCTTCTTTCCAATGAAACATCTATCGGCTTTATCTCCCCTCCTTTTTTGTGTTTGTTACTCTCTTGTTACACCTCTAATCTTTGACACTTATATGAATGATCTGATTGTGTTGCAAGTTCAGTAAAACACTTACTAAAACTAAAAACAAAAATTTCATAATTACCTGGGGAGGTAAAGGGAGCAGTGATGACTTTTATTGTTTTGAAAATCGGTTTAGAATATTCACTTTTTTACTTTGTTTCTGATTTATGGTATGTATACATGATAGACGATTCTATTAAATATAATTTTTTTTTCCTTAAGTGTTTGTTGTTGGTGACTCCGACTACTTGTCTCAGACTAAAAAGTCACCTTTTAAAAGTAGAGACTGACTTTTACGATTAAAATGAATCATTGATGTCATCATCATCATCATCATCATCATCATCATCATCATCATCATCATCATCATCATCATTGCTTTCTCACTAGGCCACGAACAAACACTTTCCACCTTTCCCTATCCTGGGCTAGTCACTTAATCATTGATATAGGAACAAACACTTTCCACCTTTCCCTATCCTGGGCTAGTCACTTAATCATTGATATAGGAACAAACACTTTCCACTTTTCCCTATCCTGGGCTAGTCACTTTATCATTGATATAGGAACAAATATTTTCACATGTAATTCTGGTTTCGGAAATGTCCTCCCTGAGCAGCGCTAATGAAATAATGTTTGTCCATTGACAGAACATGGAGCGAGTGCCTACAGCTCACAGTTCCTCGTCGTACGAGCACAGCGGGAAGCACGAGCGGGAGCAGCGCCCTCTGTCCTCTCTGTCACGGGAGGAAGAGAGAGCAGCGGGGAAAGACAACCCCTTGTCGCGGACACCGTCTCGGGCGTAAGTTCTAGATGAGTCCTCTAAGTGACCCCTGACGAGTGTACTCATCCCTTGGCAGCTCTCCTTTTAGGACCTGTGATAAGAAAACCCACTTTGTAGAAAGTTTTTCGAGCAAATTTGACTGACTTTCTGAGTCTAATTCACAATGAGCAGAGGGAGCAAATCCTTACTTTGTTCTTCATTTGTTTGGCACATTCAGAACAGAATTATTTAAGTATAAGCGATAAATATTCTTTTCTCAGAAAGCATAGCCATTGTCCTTAACACTTTGCCGCCTCATCTCGCCGATCGGCGATGTTTACCGCCTAGTTTCTTTGGATTTTCCCCAAAATGTCTTTGCCTTTGATGGCAAGAGTTTTTACTATATGTGAGCCTCGTGATGGCAAAGTGTTAACCGTCTGTTAGCCACAGGATGGTTGATCATTATCTTGAGGGGATAAGAAGAACATTGTTTTTTCCAAAAAATGTTTGGTATTATTAGAAGAACAGTTCTGCTAACAAAATAAAACAATGCCATTTATCCTAAAATTTACAATCCTTAGCTCATATGTTCATACCTGTCCACAAATTTGATTATTTAAAGAGCTGGTGCTGCTGGTCATCCTATTTCCAGTCGTCATGTTGTGCAGTATGACATGTATGCTCAATATATAATCATTTTGTGAAAAGATGAACAGATTAGTGGAATGCTTACTTGTCAATAGACGTTATTGATAGTTGGATAGGTATCATGTTTTGTGGAAGCGACTGAGAGGCAGTTCTCTGAAGTCAATTTTACAAGAGGGATGGTTGAAAAAAAAAATGAAATCATGTTTTTAATCTTCTATTCCACACGCACAGAGGTACTCAGGATCTTTGTGAGCATTAAGTACGATATATTTTTATGAAAGGTAGAAAGCTCAAAACATAGTGTGTTTTTGCGGGTGGTTACAGGCTACCTTTGATAGGGGTAGGTGTTACTTCTTCTTCTTCTTCTCTCTCTCTCTCTCTCTCTCTCTCTCTCTCTCTCTCTCTCTCTCTCTCTCCCTCCCTCCCTTCTGTTTAATTTCTGTGAATCTGTTTTGATTTTTTCCCTTGACTAAATAAACATTATGTGCTTCTCTTTATTTAAACAGACAAACAAACGAACAAACTAATGTGTTACTGTGTGGAATAGAAGCTTCTGAACTCGTCTATTTACCTGATTGTCGCCCAGCTTCTCGCTGCTTCAAGAAATTTTTTATGGGTTTATCTGCAGACACCCTCAAGCATCGACAACCCCGAACGGCGTAGGTCTGTCCAGTCAGGCCCTGGACATGTACACCCGCAGCCTGCAGGCTTTCAGAGCCGAGGAGGAAGCTGCTCGGCATGGCCTCCCGCTGCCGTACACTCTCGACCCAGCCGCTTATGCTGCTGCTGCGGCTGCGGCTGCCGCCTACCACCCTGCGTTGCTGCAGCAGCAGGCTGCCTTTGCTGCTCAGAGCCCCTTCAGGTTGGTTTTTGGTTGGGCTTTATCGGTAAAATTGTGTAGCTGGTGCCGTGGTTTGTGGGTAATCAAATCAGTTACTGGAGGGCTATGGCAGGACTTTTAGCACTTTTCTTTTCGGGGAGGGGGGGGGGGGAGTGTTGTAAATAAACCAACATCACCCCCACGGAAAATATAACGCAATTTTAATGTCGTAATTCCTGAGCTCAATTGTGCAAGTGAGAAATTTACTTTGGTGTTGCAGTTTGTAATAGAGACTCGTTTGAGATATTGTACTGACCCAAACTTGAAAATGATGTTTGCATTTGAAGGATTGGATGTATTCTCATTTTTTGTCATAGTGTTGTGAAATATGTTCACATATATAGTTTCTTTATAGCTATGTCCTCAGGCTAGGTGGATAGTGGAATCTGTGAAAGGAAAGAAAATAAATAAGAGCAATTTATTATTCCAGCTAGTGATAATGCTTCTTTCTTTCAATGCTCACAGTGTATGTTTTTAGGCATTTTTTTGTTGTATTTATATGGTTTCTGTTGGGCTTTTCAAGAAAATCCCACTGAATTGGATTGGGCTTTCAAGGGGAGAGAACATAGTGTGCAAGCTGTCAGCTACGTGTTTCCAATCTTTGTTTCTGTTGTAAGAACTTTCAGACTCAAGGTTATACCGCCAAAGCTTTCACTCATAGGTGTTTTTTTCTTTGGTTCGGACATCATTCTTATGTTGTTGTTGTTGTTATCGATCCAGCAACAGCTGGGCTCTCGCCCTTCTGTCCAATGCCATGTAGTGATAAGTGCAGGTCTGCTGCAGTTGCTGTAATGTTCCATAGAGTGTGTTGTCTATGTTAGGTCTCGGAGGGAGAAGGGTGGCTCTGATGTCATTAAGGGCTGTGCAGTGACATCATTCTAATCTTACTCCACAGGTTTGACGACCCACTCTTGCTGGAGCGTTACCGGATGCTGCAGTCTCCGTACCTGCCGTTCCCCGCTGGGGGCCTGCTGTCCCCTCATGCCGGAGCACTGGGCATGCACCCTATGCTGGCCGCAGCGGCTGCCGCTCAGCAGCGCTACCCAGCGGACCTTGCCCTCCTCCAGCAGCAGTACCAGTATCTGGGAGCTGGACATCCGCTGTTGGACCCTAGGTTTGCTGCTCAGGCAGCGTTGTTAGAGAGGTGAGATATCGTTGGATATGTGGCGGTGTGTCTTTTTGAGCTGACAATGCTATTATATTAATCAGTAGATTGTATCATTATTTTGTACCAGTTTATTCTGAAATTTTGTATTGGTACAAATTTTATAGCTATATTTGTTGAAGTGTTTCTTCATTCTAATTAGTACAGTGCGAAAATGTTTTTCATGGTACGCATTTTGTGTTATGTAATGAGGATCATTGTTTTGTCAAAAAACTTTTTTTTGGGGGGGTTTGACAGAAATGTAATTTACAGGCATACAAGGATGCTCTGTCATGTAACTTTTTTATTTTCCTACAATCACAGATCTCGGCTGGAAGAAGAGAAAGCCAGAGACTTGATAGAGAAGGAACGAGAGAGAGAACGTGAGAGGGAAAGGGAGAAGTCCCTGGACAGAGAAATAGAACGAGAGGCTGCTCTTCGGTCTGAGAGAGAGCGCAAACATAGTCTGGAGAGGTCTGTGCGAGAGAGCCAGGAAAGAGAGCACCGTCGGAGTATGGAGAGGGCGGCCAGGGAGAGCAGCGAGCAAGAGAGACGACTCAGCCTGGAGAGGTCTGCCAAGGAGTTACTGGAGAGGCGAGATATCTTGACGGTACCGTCCAGACTGCCCGCTTCCCACGGCGCCGAACGTGGCCCAGAGTCTCATCACAAGTCCCATGGTGACGGACACGGGGCTCGACACTCTACCATCGGGCGACCGAGCTCCTCCCAGGCCAAGGTGGAGCCTCACAATCTGAGTATGTACTTTCTGGTAAAAGTAATATATAGTCTCCCGAAATTCCAGTTGCTTGACTAAACGCTAGAGCTGGATCCTGCTCGCCAAATCTAAGAGTGGCGATTTGCGATTCAGTCGGCTTCAAAGAATCGCGAGTACGCGAGCGCTCGTGGAACACTAAGCCTTGGGCTCGTTGTATGCGTGAAACGGAACAGTGTCATATCAACGGCACTTCACTTCACATAGATATGTTTTATTAAAACAATTTTCTTTTCTTATGTAGAGTTTTTCAGGACACGGATAAGCCTTTGTTCATAAATCGCGCTGATAGTGTGTGCTGTAGTTTATTTTCTGTTGATTTATCCCAAGCTTTCACCCAAATCGTATCAATCTTAAACGTCCCGATTCTTGCTCACTGAACAATTTCTATCTCAAGAATAGACCTGTGTCTTCTCCACGGAAAAAGACAACAAGACACAAGAGAGTGCTTTCTCCTGTCACCAACAACAATTCCTTTTTTGGAATAGCCGAACATCCTAAGCTGACTTTTACATTCTTCTTCTTCTTCTATCCCGTGGTTGGGGCAACCGTTGGGGCACCACTGCATTGGAAAACCAGCTCTCGCCATCTATTTTTGTCCTCTGCTCTCCTTTGACATGCTCCTGTACAAATTCAAACACCGAGGTTATGCTGAATTGCTGTTTTGTCAATGGCAATGACATCTTTCAAAATCCACCGACAATTTGGAAGACAAAATGTGTGCTATAATTTTGAGTTTATTTTGTTCCTACCAGGCTCCAAGCTCAGCCCGTCAGGGTATCCACTGAGCTCTCGGGAAGCAGCTGATCAGCATGCAGGCCTTGCCTCACACTCACATTCCTACAGCAAATCTCATGAAAGTGCAGCAACAGCAGCCTACAATGCTGCCTTGGTGAAGCCGCACACGCTGGAAAAGGTGAGACTTCTTTCAGGTTAATCATTACCAAGAGCAGGCAGTGAGAGTGTTGCTAGTTAGTTAGTTAGTAGAGGTTTTACGGCGCTCGCAATTGCATAAGATCATATGAGCGCCAGAAGATTAGAGGTGTTACAAGAGAGTAACAAACACAAAAAAAAGAAGGAGGGGAGATAAAGATGATAGATGTTTGATAGGAAAGAAGGAGCAAACCACACCAGAGCACCCACCAACCAATCACGAGAGTCTTGCAAATAGCATCGAGATGATGGATATCTAAGACATGAAAGGGTAAAATGTGAGGGAGAATGATTTTTTATTATGTTTTGAAATGTGTAGTTTATGCTGCAGTAGTCTTCAGAATTTTTTTTTCAACTATATAGGCATTAAAGATTGGTGAAGATTTTTTTTAAAGCAAGCACACACTATGCTCCTTCTACAATGACCATCTTTAAAGATTTGTTCATGTGGAATATTCACATTACTTTTGAAGTTTAAGTGGAAGATGTGTGCATGTTCTATCTGTGTGAGAGCCATTATTATTACTGTTCTCTAGCTCTGTTATATTTTTGGAGCATTTTCATTTTCTGTTCATATTGTGTTTTCTGTGGGTAGGATTGACAGATAATAATACGCTGTTTTAAATATGGTCTTGGTGAGTGTGTCTCATGCACCAACACGAAGAACCTATCGTTTTTGGGGTTGCCCCATAAGATGAGCTCCTGAAAGAACGGGGAATGAGATTTTTCCTGTTGGAAGGATATTTTTTGTGCATGAATCAAAACCACAATTGAAAGATAACGGGAATCTTGATTTATGTCATGCTCCCATTTGATTTATGTCATGCTCCCATTTGATTTATGTCATGCTCTCATTTTTTAAAAGTATTGTCATTTTTTTCTGCTTGTCATGCGTCATTCAATCTGTTGGATAAACTATGGAGGGTACAAGTGAATAATAAACTCTAAAATATAATTCTCAAGTTGGGTCCACGAAAACTTTTGGGTCTCTCCAGAGGAGACAAAGTTATTTTGACAAATACTCTCCATCTATTCCGACTCTAAAAAGTAAAACCAAGCCAAGCTACAAACTAACATGAAAACAATCAACTTAAGTCCCATGCACTCATATGACCTCTTGTAATTCGAGTACAACTTTTACCCAACATATATTTGTCATTTCTAAACATGTGATGTGATATTCCCTCCCCTCCTCTCCAGGGTCATGACTACCTACCTGCTCACGCACACAGGGACAGTCGTTCCGGCCACAAGGACCCTCGCGAGTCGCCCCGATCTAGTAGCGTGGGCTCCAACATCCCCCCTGGCTTCCCTCTGTCGTACTACCACCAGCCCTCTCACTTGATACCCGGTGCTTCGTCGGCTGTGTCTCCCTCAGATGCGCAGCACCCCCCTCGCTCTTTGCATCCTTCTCATTTGTCCCCATCCTCGTCATCCTCCACTCATCATTCTGATAAAGTGAGGCGTAGCTCTGATTCTTCAGGAATTTTCCGCCCTTTTGATGACGACAGCAAGCCTTCAGACTCAAGCCATCATCCAAGTAGTCAGCGCAATGTCTCACAGAACCACCACCACCACCACCAGCCTCATCATCATCACAGCAGTTCTTCATCATCCACTCCCTCTCAATCTCAGCAACATCACAGACACCACCACGGCCACCGTCCCACCAGTCCCTCAAAGTCATCTGAGATCCTTACCATTCCGTCGGTGAAAGTTCACCCTCAAGAGCGGGGCTCCAACCCTCCCAGCAAAGTCCTATACAACTCTCACGAGCGTTTGCCTTCATCGTCCTTGTCAGCCCATCCGTCATCTCAAGTATCGCCCCAATACGGGAAAACAAGCAACATATCCAACTGCATAAATGACAGGATTGAACGTTTTGACTTTAAAAGTCTTGCCCGAGAGTGCATGTCTTCAACAGCTTCGGGTTTGCCTTCAGAGAAAGCTGGAGCAGCCACTGGTGCAGAAGTATGTGAGATAGCAACAAGTGTGCCCGCTGCAAAGGCGATGGACGTGCAACCCAAACGGTGCCTCAGCAAACTGGATCGCCAGGAGTTAAGAGTGAGAGAAAGAAGGAAGAGAGGGGAAGACACCGAGTCTGACACTGAGATGGATGAAGATGAGAGAATTGCAGCACGTCTCACTATGATAGGCCGGGCTACACCAATACCTTTAGATACTCCTACCGAGAAGATGGAAATATTTGAGTACCTTGGTATCACCACTTTGAAAAGGAAAGAAGGTAGGTGTTTGATATTGGTTACAAGTTTATTGCTTAATTACACCTCATGTAGATCAAATGTTTTGTTCAGCATGTGTTATGGATTCCTACACATTTGTTTCGTTAACAGAGTGAAACACTATGGAAGGATATCCTTGTAGTATTTTTTTGACTGATGATAGGTTTTGCCAGCCTCTGTCTTAACCCAATGTACCCAAGGCTCCCAGGCCTAAAAAAGTCCTCCCCCCTTGGCTCCCAATCAAAATTTGAGTAAAACAGGCATGCTATTGGTTTTGTGTTAGTACTCATGCAAAAACATAAATAAAGTAACTACATTTTTCTTACCCTCCTATCTCCAAAACTGCTGCTTGGTGTGCCAATATGTTTGTCTACTTCGGAGTAGGTGTGAGGTCTAAACAGGTCGCCCCAAACACCCAATATGTGAGGCAGCGTGGTGGAATCAGGCTCTTGTCAATTTTGGGGCATGTGGAGTTATTAGTATCATCTTAAAGCTTGTTCACTTGTCTTTATTTGGATGAAAAAAATATCCATTTATCTTGAATACAATTTGAGATATTTGCGTAAGAAGAAGGTTGGGGTCACCTGTTTTCAGAGGTAAAATTAGTGAGAAAATGGCCGCCAAAGATGAGTTATTTCCTTAGCTTAAGAGTCCGTGGTAACTGAAAATTTACATTTTTGTGCCTTTAATCCACGTTTTAAAGAAATGTCCAGAGAAATGAGTTCTTTAATGGGCATGAACGGTGTTGAGTCAAAAACCAAAAATTTGATAACAATTCACAAACCTGCGAAAAAATGCAAGTTTCTTCACTTTGATTA